TTCGAGAAATCGTTCTCTGCCTTTTCTAGGCGCTCCTTGTGCTTGCTCAATTTTTGTAGGTGGCTCAATTTCACTGCTTGCTCATCAATGTCCGGGAACTTTGTATGCAAGCGATCCATGGTCTGTCGTGGCGTCAACTCTTTGATCCATTCCAGCAGTTTCTGATATTCTTCTCTGGTCAAACCAAGTTTGCCCCAATCTCCCAGAGCTTCTATGCCTGTGAGGCCTCGCTTTTCAGCGGGCGTTTGCTTTTCGGGCTTGCTGATGATGCCTGCTGCCTCTGGCTCATCTGCCTGCGATGGCTCCTCCATCCTTGCTCGCTTTGGCGGTCTTTCGTTTGCTTGCTGGTGATCAGGAGGGTTGGCAGCGGCGGCGGCGCGCGGCAGCAGCGCGTTGTAGTGCTCTGCGCCCGGAACGCCTTCTTCCAAACGAAGATAGATGGGTTCCACAGCTTGCAAGGCGTCGTGGTTGTGCGGCACGAAGCAGCTGGGTGGTTGGTTTGGGTCTTCCGAGCGCCATACAATCAGTGGGCGGCCCAAACAATCTGCGAGGGTGCGCGCTGAGATGTGGTCTCCCCAGTGCCTAGGTCGTTGCATCTGAAGAACTCATTCAAACACTTCTTCAGGTGTTTGCTCGTCGAAGAATGCAACATATCTGATGAAGTGAACTTCAGCCTCGTGTGTGCTTTGCTGTCTCAAAGTCAAATGGCCTTCTTCGCCAAGATGCGTCTGTAAGGCAACCGATCTGTACAAGCAGTTGCCATCGCCCGCGATCCACTGAGGCCGAAGGTGTGGGGCCATGGCATTTGCGTGGGCCATCAAGATTTCTTCTGCTTCGTCGATGCTGTCTGCTCTTGCAAGGTTGACTTGCAGAGGTGGGAGTGCTGGAGCATCTGCCGGAGCTGGGGCCGCTCCTGCAGCAACTCTTTCCGGATCTATTTCTGGAGGTCTTTCCGGAGCTGCGTTGGGCTCTGGCCGGGCTTCTTGGTCATTCTCCACGCGCGATGGCGACTCATCTGAGGCTGGTGCTGCTGGTGGATCTTCCCCTGCATAAGGGTGATCAGCTGGCTCCGCCGGTGCACTTGGTGCGTCAGGTTCTGATGCCTGCTGTTCTGGCGCGGCTTCATCTGGCGGCTGTGGCGCCGGGAAGCTCCAGCGCACTTCCGGCGGCAATCTGCTTCTGGCCAGCTCCGCTACTTCCGGTGCGAACTTCTTGTAGACCTGCTGCAGCCGGCGTCTGCCGCCGATGCTGTCGCAGACTTGGCGCAGCAGGTCTTGGTCGCACCACGAGCAGCGTGTGTTTCCGGGCTTTGGCTGTGAAGGCTTGCCGTTCTTTCCAAAGCGACAGCGCTCCCTGTCTTGGAACCCCATGCATGAGCGCGGCATTTGGAACCCCATGCATGAGCGCGGCATTGCTGCAGGCGAAAGGAAGGCGTCTGTACAAAAAGGAGGAGAAAAAGACAAGTATATATATATATATGTATTTATTTATAGAGGTGCATACATAGTAGTCATATTTCATGTTTTTTTGACAGAAAGCAATATGTTGTGAGTTTCTTTTACGGAAAATAGCCATGAAAGCTGCAGGCAAACTTCGAATGACAACTACATGTATGACTACATGTACAATTGCATGGTCACCGGCAGCACAGAACAATTCCCGCACGCAAACTTTTTTAATCGACAACATGTAAAAGGCCACGGCCCATCTGCACGTTAAAAATCATATTCTACTGCACGCAAGCTGGGAACTTGCTAGTGGAGCCTCGACACAAACTAGAGCATGCCCCAAGCAATCCATTGCTCCTGCTGCACTTTGTCGAGCTTGCTCTGAGCTGCTGGCAAGCCCGTGACGTTGTCGACAAACTCCACCTGAAATCGGGGATTATCGGTCTGCTCGCTGAGCTTGGTGAAAAAGCTCCGGATGCCGGCGCTGGTCAGATGCACCATTCGCGGCACATTCCAACTTGCATAGCTTGTATTGTCACTTGCCATCGCGGTGGTTACAGCATCCATGTCAAAGGGCTCGCCCCATCCAAAGACAGACAGGTTCATGAGCTTCTTTTCGAAGATGTAGTGCTCTTTGACTTCTTCATGCAAGCGACGGAAGGCCTCCAAAGTGATTTTGTCGTCGGCCAGGTAGTAGGGACCAAACCCACGCTTCAAGTAAGCGGCCACTCTCTTTGGAGTGTCGCGTCGATTGGCGAGCATCGAGGCTGGCACCACGTTCCATCACCGAAATCATGTTATTTAAACTGAAGCTTTCCTAACATGACCCTGTCGCCCCTCCAAGCATCAGATCGTGGTTCTTGATCTCGTCCGAGTCGTCCATGACATCACCTGGCGCAGGTTGGCGCAAGAAAACGTTGATGCAATGACAAAGTTGAATACATAAGAAGCGTGAATATGTCTACGCGTAACTGTACAAAAATGAAGGCTCATGCATTGATGTGGCCACTGGTCAGCTTGCGGGAAGAGAAGCAGCGTCGCAGAAACCACAAAAACCAAGAAAGTGCAGCCATCGAACGGCAGACGGCCAGAAATACGCAACCAAGTAGGTGTAAACCAGAGACGGCGGGAAAGGAGCCAGACAGGACAACGCAAGGCAAATTAACAGCCAGAAACGCCCAGCCAAGCAGGTAGGAACCGCAGACGGCCGGAAACGAGCCGGACAGGGCAGAACAGGTAGGCAACAGCCAGAAACACCCCACTAAGCAGGTACAAACAAGAGACGGCAAGAAACGAGCCAAAGAGGACAACGCAGGCAAGTAACAGCCCGAGACGCCCAGCCAAGCAGGTAGGAAGCGCAGACGGCCACGGAAACGAGCCGGACAGGACAACGCAGGCAACTGACAGCCAGAAACGCGCAAGCCAGCAGGCACGAAGCCCAGACGGCGGGAAACAAGCCAAAAAAAGAAGGAAGAAGCAGAGTAACGACCAGAAAGGCGCAAGCAAGCAGGCACCAGCGGAGGACAGCGGGAAAGAATTGAAAAAGAATGCGTTTTGAAGGCGTTTCACGTCCAGAACCCAAAAGGGATCGAGTTCAGCTCGTTCCGAGCGAGGGAAAGTCGGATCCAAAAAGAGCAATTTTTTCATTTTTGCGTTTGACACCCTGAACCTTCAGTAGTAGGCAGGTTTCGCGTTTTCGGGCGCCGCCGGCCGAGTCAAAAATACGCGTTTTTTATTTTGGCTGCCTGTCAGGGCGGGTTCAGAGACAGCGCGGTGATTGCAACGATTAGAAATGCGCAGAGCCAGCCGCAACCAAGCAGGCACGACGCTGAAACGGCGAGAGGCGAGCCAGAAAAAAGGAGAAGAGGGAAGGCGCGCGCGACGGCCAGAATCGCGCAAGCAAGCAGGCACAAACCAGAGACGGCGGGAAAGAAACAGCCAGAAACGCCCAGTCAAGCAGGTAGGAACCGCAGACCGCCGGAAACGAGCCGGACAGGGCAGAACAGGTAGGCAACAGCCAGAAACACCCAACAAAACAGGAACAAACAAGAGACGGCAAGAAACTAGCCAAAAAGGACAGCTCCCAGCCAAGCAGGTAGGAAGCGCAGACAGCCACGGAAACGAGCCAGACAGGACAAAGCAGGCAGGCAACAGCCAGAGACACCCGACCCAGCAGGTACAAACCAGAGACGGCAAGAAACGAGCCAGACAGGACAACGCAGGCAACCAACAGCCAGAAACGCGCAAGCCAAGCAGGTAGGAACCACAGACGGCCGAAAGCGAGCCGGACAGGACAACGCAGGCAAGCGACAGCCAGAAACGCGCAAGCCAGCAGGCACGAAGCCCAGACGGCAGGAAACAAGCCAAGAAAAGAAGGAAGAAGCAGAAAGGTAACGACCAGAAAGGCGCAAGCAAGCAGGCACCAGCGGAGGACAGCGGGAAAGAATTGAAAAAGAATGCGTTTTGAAGGCGTTTCACGTCCAGAACCCAAAAGGGATCGAGTTCAGCTCGTTCCGAAAGCGAGGGAAAGCCGGATCCAAAAAGAGCAATTTTTTTCATTTTTGCGCTTGACACCCTGAACCTTCAGTAGCAGGCAGGTTTCGCGTTTTTGGGCGCTGCCGGCCGAGTCAAAAATACGCGTTTTTTATTTTGGCTGCCTGTCAGGGCGGGTTCAGAGACAGCGCGGTGATTGCAACGATCAGAAATGCGTAGAGCCAGCCGCAACCAAGCAGGCACGACGCTGAAACGGCGAGAGGCGAGCCAGAAAAAAGGAAAAGAGGGAAGGCGCGCGCGACGGCCAGAAACGCGCAAGCAAGCAGGCACAAACCAGAGACGGCGGGAAACGAGCCAGACAGGACAACGCAGGCAAGTAACAGTCAGAGACGCGCAGCCAAGCAGGTATAGGAACCACTCAAACTCCCTGATCTTTGCCAAAGGGCGCAAAAGAGAAGCATTCTGGGTCAGTCTAGATCAAGAGGAGCACCGAGAATTCTTCACCAAGAATAGGTGAGCCACGACTTTGTTGTATTCTACACCCACATCAAAAATGGTATGGTGCGGAGCCCTCGCACGACCGGTGCATCTTCCAAGTCGTTTGCAGTATGCGTGGGCGTTTCGATCAGATCGGTTCCAGCTGGCAGCACTTCGTGAAGGAACGTGGCTTGTGCTTGAAATGTGACACAAACAGTTGTCAAACCAACAGTTATTGGAGATAATTACAGCTATCGAACATGCTCCGAGTCTTGAAAGCAACAGAGCAAGAGGAGACAGGTTTCTAAGGGCCGTAAGCCGAGACATTCACTTTGAGCCGACAAAATCCCCAAAAAAAAGGACATGATGCATATATCATATCACAGACACACAACAGCTTCACAACATCATCTCTCCATGGCCGCTGCGTGGCAGCACGTGCAGATGAGCTGTACCTACTTTCAGTGCTGTGATCCGAACATGGCATTTTGCAGAGCATGGCATAGCCAAGAACACTTACTAGTTATGGCTGCCGTGATGCTCCTGTTTCCATGAACTCTTTTCAGCGCCTTTTCACTGCAGGAGATATCGTAGGCGCTGTGGAACACTGCTGTCTCTTAGGACCAGGTGAAACTCAACCCGTTGCCCGCTCACGTCGCCAACCACCACTTCTACCACCTTGTCGTGGTTCTGGGCAGCTTCCATCGCCTCATCGTGCAATTAATTGGCAACATGCGTAGCAAATTCTCCTGTGTCATGTCTCGTTTATTTAGTGGGTCTTGATTTTAACATGATGTCCGAAATTCTTCCCGGCCTTGGCGTTGAAGTGCTTGCGAATCGCTGCTTCAATGCCCAGGGATCCTGTCGACGACAGAGACGTGTCCAAAGAGACCGGGGCTCAGGAAGGCCAATTGCACGAATGTTGGATTTTAGCGTAGAGAGCTTTCTGTGATTTTGATTGCGCATGTGTGTTCCCATATCTCCACCTGCCTCGAAACACGGTGTATGTGTTTCCGCTGAGCATGTTGGTGGCATAAATCAGCTTCTTGCAGTACCTTTGCATGCGAGGTGAAAAATATTCAATTGGCTTCCGTTGGTTCAGAAAAAGCAGCCAAGGTCCTTACGCCCAGCGGATGCATAGCAGGAAAGCGAAGAGTCGGAGCTTTAGTCCTAGCCTGAGGGGCGCGGGTCGACCGAAGAGGCCGCGAAGCTGCAAAGCGGATATATCTCAGGCTCGGACGCAGCGATGGTCATGAGCCTTGCATGATCGGACACTGATCAATGGACTATTCAAACATGTTTGCGCGTGTGCTTGCGTGCTATTCTCCCGAAGTTGACAGGTCAATCCAAGCGCCCAGCTTTGAACAACCACGAACCGTGTGTGCGCGCGAAGGGACGACTTCGTGTCTTGAGACTTCAGAGGACGCGCTGCGGAGTCTAGTGTGTGATTTCTTTTTTTACAAATGCAGTAATTGAACATGATGCGCAAATTCCGACTCTTCTCTTTTGGCTCACTGAAAATGAACCCATGGTCGTGTACTCTCGGTTGCCGAGGCCTTTTTCTGCTCCTGTTGCTTGTTAGTGGCTGTCGCATGGCAGCAGAAGCTCATGTGGCTTCGGAATGGGGCTCACATTACGGAAGAGTGGCGCCTCAATACAAACAAGCAAAAGAAAATGCAGAATTCCAGAACAACACTTTGATCCTGCTTGTGCATTGCAGTCAATTCTCTCTCTCTCTCTCTCTCTTTTCTCTCTTTCTCTCTTTTTCTTTTCTTCTGTGATCGGAGATGGGTCACAAAACATCTATACTGATATCGAGATGTCGAGGCATAAGCACAGGACCGTCCTGGCCAGGGATGAAGAGCAGTTCGAGGCTGGCAGAAGTGCGGGAAAGTCGTGACAGCGACGCCCTTTCATCATCTATGGATTCTATCCTGCTTCTTGTCCGCTTGCTTTGCTTGTGCTTCCTTTACGACGTTGCAACGGCAAGGACAATCAGCAGCGTGGTGAACAGCAGCGTTCACTACGCTGGTGATTGTCCTTGGCCCCGGAAGTCTTTGCTTCCGACATGGCTGCTTTCAAAATGTACTGGCATCGCGAAAGTCAGAAGCTCGGGGATGTTTGCAGGCAGGCCAAGAAAATGCCAGAGCTTTTCTTCACTTCTAGAAGAGCTCTGGCATCTTCTTGGCCTCACGTTGGCGCCCGCAGAATGGAAATTTCCCCTGCACCAGGGAGCACTGCCGCCGGCCGACCCGAAAGAATTGAGGAAGCAGCAGATCATCTTGACCGAACACATTCACAACGTTCTACAAGCACTCATTCGCAGATCGGTGACCGAAGACGGCGATGCACTAGCTGCCTGTGGCATCGCGAAGATCCAACATTGGGTGATGAGATTTGAGTTCCAAAAGAGAGGAACCATCCACATCCACGGCACATGGACGTGAATCGCTCCTCTCTTCTGGAACTCAAACCGCATGACTCAATGCTCGATGTTCGCGACGCCCTTTCATCATCTATGGATTCTACCCTGCTTCTTGTCTGCTTGCTTTGCTTTGATTTTTTTTAAATTAACCTGCTTTGGTGCTGTGTTGTCCTTGCTAGCTTCATGCTGTATATGTTGAAGACGAAGTCTCTATTGATTCCGAAGAATGCATTGGTTCAAGGATCCTAAGTTTTTTCTGCCTTGTCGCTGACATATATCTGATGGGAAGTATAACTACTATATATAGCTGCTTCTTTCCTGGTCAAAAAGTCATGAATCTTTCAGTAAGAAAAGGGTAATCCACTGA